GTTCTCGCTTGTTTCTTGCTAGCACTAACGCCCGACACAGCACTCGCCGGAGGGTGACTTGGCGCCCACCAACCTCGAACCAGACTTGCACGCAACTCGCTCACATTGCGGTAAGTTACCGATGGACAGGCTGCATCCAGAACAGTCGCTCGATTTGGAGCAAAGGTGTGGACACCGATCATGCACTTGTATGTTCCGACATGCGGATGCGTTCTGGCTGACGCCCACGACGACGCCGTGAGCGCAATGACAACAGCCAAGTGACAACATCAGCTGTTCTGAATGCCTATCAAAATACGTTGACATGCGAGTTGAGTAAATGCTCACTGGATACAATTGAATCTCACTGCTCTAATGTTCACCAGAACTTACCAGCAGCAGGCAAATCCTCATGCCTGATAGACAACATGGACATTGGTACTTCGCGGTCTCTGGAACTTATTGATGCTCACAGGCATATTCCGGTTGGAAGCGAACGCAATGAAACTCGCAAACAGCTTTGGGTAAAACTCCGTGCTAGCCTGAAGAGAGACCACGAATCCTTGTGGTCTCTCTTTGTGAGTCAGAGATGCAATTGGCCGCTGTACTATGTAACCGTCGTAACTTATTCAGCCAGTTACGGGAAGTGGGCAACAACAGACCTGGTGTCAGTGAAACTATTTCTGCGGAGAGTGAACAGCCTATCCACAACTTGTCAAAAGGTTTAAAGTGATGTGCTGAGCATTTCGAAAAGCAATTTCATTGGTCGGAATTGTCAGATTTCTCACCGGCCACTGATCGCCATGCTCCGTGGGCTGCCCCAATGGATCCACCTTCTCGCTCAGAGGCCAAATGTGAGATCGAAATGTTGAAGTTAACTAAAGCTGCGGGACTAGATTTGCTTCCCCCAGACCTCTTCAAATTCGGGGCACCCGCTCTGGTGGATGACTTATACGAGCTACCAGTGAAACTGTGGGAGCACGAAACTGTCCCAACTGACTGGGACCGCTCCGTCATAGTCCCAATTGTTAAGGGGACTCAGGATGGGAGTGCGACAACCAGCCGGGAATCATTCTGATCCCCATCGCTTCCACATTGCTTGCAACTGTCATCCTTCACAGACTGACTGGCGCTCGTAAAAGCCAGATTCGTGAGGAGCAAGCCGGGTTTCCTCGGGGTCGTGGCTGCATCGACCACATGTTCACTTTGGATGAATTGTTGGAGCACCGTCACATATATTGGCGGCCCACCACTGTCGTATTCCTAGATATCAAAGGTGCCTTCGATTCGGTTGATTGATGTGCCTTTTTGGACTGTCTACCCAGGAAATGTGTGCCTGAGAGATATCTAAATATTATCCGAGTAGTATACGCGCGCAGCTCAGGCAGAGTGAGGGCTTACGTCAGCTGTCGCCACCCTTCAATATCGTCAGCGGTGTGAGACAAGGATGCCCGCTGTCACTTTTCCTCTTCAACTTCGCTATTGACGAAGTCATGAAGACTGTATTTACAGGACACGAGTTAGAAGGTGTGGAACTGATCTCAGGAGAACGACTTCTTGACTTGTAGTATGCTGACGATATTGCCCTCATCTGTGACAGCTTCCAGACGTGCCAGGCTTCACTGGACAGGCTAGCACTGGGTATCAGCTATTTCGGGCTTTGCTTTGCTTCCTCGAAGTGCAAAGCGTTCATCCAAGATTGGGCTGGTCTGCCTGCTTCGCTGATCCTTTGTGTGGATCAGCTAGAAGTGATTCAGAAATTCAATTACCTGGGAAGTTGTATTAGTGCCCGTGGGATTGAAAATGAGATCACGAACCGAATATCAAGAGCTCGAAATGCTTTTGCTAGTCTTCGCCACCTATGGCGGCGGCGGGACATCACTCTCGCCCTGAAGGGTAGAGTGTACAATGCAGCGGTACCTTCGACCTTACTGTACGGTTGTGAAACCTGGCCCCTTAGATCAGCGGACATAAAGAGGCTAGTTACGTTCGACCATCGGTGCCTTAGCAGTTTGGTTCACATCTGTTAGGAACACCGCGTGAGCAACGAGCGTGTTCGACTCCTTGTTTACGGCACAGGAAAAGGAACTGAACCACTCAGCACCGTCATTTCACGCAGCAGGCTCCGATGGCTGGGCCACGTGTTGCGCATGCCAGCCCACCGACTCGCGCGATGTGCGTTGTTTGCTCACCGGGGATGTGGATGGAAGAAGAGGAGAGGTTGTCGAGAGGAATAAAAGCGCTCACTTCGGACCTGGCCTCGGTTGGGGCTTCACGGCTCCCTGGTTGGTTTCCGAAATACGATGAACACGTTTGGTTGGATACACTTTCTGACATGGCTAGGAGCCGATCTCAGTGGCTTTTGTGTTATGGGATTTTTTTGTCCCTCCCCATCCCTTTTAGCCTCCCCGCCATCCACGATCTCATTTGGTAGCGTAATATAATTTTACATAATTTTTTTCGTTTTGTCTAGTAGCCGGCTGGTAGCTTTCCGGAACGATGCCCATCCGTTGCTGGTAGCTCTGTTGGCATGCAACTGTTGTATTTATTTTCTATTTCTTTTATGTATTGCGGCTTATTGGCTGAGGTGGTTTACACCTTAAGCAAACGTGTATAATTATGATGATGACACGCAGGACGACGTATATTTCGGTTGCCTATCCAAAAACACAGTTTGCACAATGATGTGAGTGAAGCTCACACGGGTGTCACCGACTGTCTGTATGACCGCATGTCTTTGGAACACTGGTGTGAGCGCAGATCGTGTGCTCAAAGAGCTTACCTGCAACTAGCGAGATACAAGTGCGTGTTTTGGAAAGTTTTTGCAAAGTGCATTTTAGGACCAAGTGAGCTTTCCGGATGAAGCAAGCATCAGGTATATCACAGCGTGGGATATCAGCGTAGATGGGTGAGTAGTTGGGAACTGGAAATGACTGAACTCGTCATGTCAGCCTTTTTGCACGAGTAAGAGGTACTGGTAGATGCGCAGATGCCATTTCGCAAACGCATCCATTGCTGAAAAAGATGTCATCGAAACTGACCGAATGAATCGCGTATCTAATCAAAACCGTCTGTGCGACGTTTGTCCTCTGTAGTATAGTGTACTGGCGCGTTACTCTGTTAACCGATTGGAAGTTGGTCTGTCAAGTTCGGAACTCGCATAAACCGTTTCGGAAGCTGTACGTTAAGGTTTCCAGTCAATCTTTCCTAATGCAAACGCAATCTAATTTATGTGATCGAAATGCCCGAAAAGCTATTCAGCACAACTTGGATACCGTTTTGATCATTCGGATAGTCCATCGTTTGACTCAATAGCATTAGTAAATAAATGGGGCGCAGTTGGCGTAGATATATGGATTTTCTCACGTTGCAGACGGAGGGCTGTGTCTGCCCCTTTGTCTGATACAAATTAACTCATCAGCCGGAGTGGTCCACATGACTGATACAGTGGGCCAATACGGTGAACTAGATGATCGGGTGTCGCAATAATCGATCAGCGCTGGTATCCTGGTGCCATTTATGACAAATGTCATTGTCAGTGGTACAAGTGCGAAATACCTGCAAACAGTGTAAAGCAAGTATATCTCTCAGCGCGACTTGGGTGCGCAATAATTTGTTATTTCAAATTTTATGGCGCTTGTCAAAATGAGTCTACAGTGTAAAACGTGGATTCAGACCAGTGCATTTTTAAAGTCCCTATATTCTCCATCTAGAAGTGTCAGACCGTCTGCGTGACTTTCATCTTAATCACAAATTCGATGTTATCTGGGCCTTCTTAAAGTAGTTTGTCAGGTAATCTTTCCCACGTGAATAACGTCATAATCGTGCCCCGATCAACATAGATTCCCAGCTTAGTTGCACTGTTACACAACCTGATTGTGAATGGGAGCCTATGACACCGGGCCGCATATCCGATTGAAAAGAAACTGGACCACCTTTTTGTCCTGCATCTTGGGACAATCAGTGTTCAGTTCTTATTACGAAGATCCGGTAGCAGGTTTTGTTGAAATCGTAATGTTGGCAGATTGCAATAACCAGTACAATTAATCAGGTTCTCATTGACACATTTCGCGTAAGACGTGCTTTGCACAAGCGAGTCATTTGGTGGTTCGTGGGGTATAAATACAGAGGTGGCAGCATAACCCCCCTCACTCATATGGACTTTCCCAAACTTCTCCCCACGTTAACACATCAGCGTCCACTTTTCCCTGATAACACGCTTGATGATTGACTGTACGCACTTTCGTGGAAAATACGTTTTAACTACAATATGTTACACATATTAATGTTGTAATATCTGTGACCTTCACATTCACATTGCATGATGTCACAAGCGTCCTTGGAGGTCGCTGCTGCTCGCTTTCTCGCTTCTCTTTCCCGACGTCATCAGGAACTTACCAAGGAGTCTGCGACCAAAAGAATCTACAAAGACAAACATGGATTATATCAAACTACCAACACACATTCTTCCTGGTCTACTTCCACTGGTCAACTGGATCTGGAAGCCCATACCAAGGAAATTTTAACAGACGTGCCCTGTCTACAAAAATACCGTTGAAACAAATGATTACCGCAACATACCTGAATCACTCCATAACTACCGAACTTGAGAGCCTGATTGTCAAGCTTCCAAGCGTTCGCGCAGTCCAATTCCTATCCAGGGGCGGACATAGTTTCTACACCATGGAGTAGTACGGAGTTGCCATGCCCCTGTCCCGATGCTAATTAGTGGGTGAATAGAAAGCTGCAGCCCGCCTCAACGGTATAGCAAGGCAGAAACGCATAAATTCAACACCCTCTAACAATCAGGCGGTCGAACTTCGTCCTTTTAGAGCACCCGGATTCATTAGAGCACTAATAGGAAATTGGCACTTCTCATCACCCATTTGTTCTCTAGCAATGGGGCGACAGATCTTACACGAGTTGCGAGCTACCCAATAAGGGGCACTGAACATCGTGGTGATGTATTGGTATGAACCGGAGAGCCAGTGCATGCATTGACGACCCGAAAAACCACTTACTGAGGCTTGTGACAGGTCCATCGTTTCAAAGATAAGACTCATCACCCGGGACATTTGAATTATCTCGCCTGACATGAGGCATAGCTTCTTGTTGTCGTCCAAAACGGTGTTCATGCTTTCTATCCACAAAGTATCCACAGGGCCGTCGAAAATGACCCACTTCCGGTCCGGTGTGTCGTTGGAGGCAAATTCCCGAAATGTGTTAGCTGTGACGCCATCCGTCCACTGGAGAAGAACACAATGAGAATGATACCAGAATAGATTAGAGAAACACACGCGTGTGGCTGCAACTAGGCCAATGAAACAAGTCAAGCGGTTAGTGGTCAGTGGGAACAGCTATATTTGCCGATGTATGAGCTACCGCGCACAGAGAACCTTGGAGGCGAATCGTTTGCATCTAAGGATGCATCCTCCTTTTCAAAAAGTCTGCATATTTCACAAGAATTATCGACGGAGACTCGTAAAGGTAAAAAATCGTTGTCACAACTTTGCTTCAGAATGACAATTCGTAGCTACGGAATATAGATGGGTAACGATGACTTACAGATGGGTAGAGAATGTTCACACTTTTTAAAAGAGGTGGAAGATTCCAGTAAACTTTGGCACGCGCGAGGCTACTCGCACCACGGATGCAAAGTGCATCGTATCGTGTAAAGTTAAGGCAATAAGGAATTTGATCACCCAGCATTACACGAAAAATCCGTCCTGCAGAGTATTCGGCCTAAGCATAGGCAAGTATGCCGAGCAACAAAGCAAGCGGGTGATACTCGTCCAGTATCAACGTCTCATTGAGCACCCCCCCCCCCCCAAATTGAATGACCCACACAGAACACGCACTGAAGCAGACGAGGACCATCATTATGGCCAAGTGCAGTGCAACAGTAATTTGAACCGGTGTTCCGCAAACATACAACCAGAATGATATAGTTAAAGAGGAATAATCTATTAGTGAATAGGGGCCAACAGTAAAACCGTAACATCCTAAGCAGCCGTTCTGCGTCAAGGCTCCTGTACCTGCTCAACAATATACGGTCATGAGAATTTGGTTGTTGTGCGAATGTAACCTGGCATCTAAAAGAGAGCATCCCTGGGGCTTTCATCGCCCCACGCCACAGGCAGCCTCATCCCACAGACAACTCAACACCAGACACGCTTAAAACAAGCGGTTCGATTAGGGGGAAACCAATACATGAGCCACCGGTGCCGACTGAGCGTCATGTCCTGTAAAGCCTAGAACTATGGTGCACTCGAGATGTGTCTACCGATTTTTATTGGCGCACCGTAAATTGCCGCACATTGTACACCCTGAGAAAACCCCGAGGAATTCTAACGACAGGCCAGATATCTAATCGGATTTCACACGATGCGTTACGCACATCAGAGCGGTGTCTGCGTACCCCAAATTGCATGGATGGCTGGGAACAACTCAAGTCATCCTCAATCAGCACACCCAGGTGGCTTCCGACGAACGATTGCTGCAGTAGTTACGTTCCCAGCATGTAGCAGTAGGCATTCTGGTGTCGAATGGAGAGTACCTTGCATCTGCTCAGGTTGAAGTTCTGCAGATTTTCGTTTGACCACTGCTATACCATGTCAAAGTCATGCTGCAGCATATCCAGATCGGCGTCCGACTGAATCCTGCGCCATGTCTTGATGTCGTTAGCAAACACTAGAAAACTTGGACCGATCGTCTCTGCCAGGCTGCTGGTAAAAACCAAAAATAATGGTAGCCTAGAACAGAGCCCTGAGGCACGCCATATTCGACATGTATAAAGTCTGATAACGCGTTTCGTACGATAACTACCAGCTGCCGTTATAGGAGAAAGTTGGCGATCCAGACTAAAAGAGGGTCACCGAAGTCATAATACTGCAGCTTGGAGAGGAGAATCCGATGAGCCATGCAGTCGAATACCTTCTGAGAGCTAACCAGTGCGTACGGAAGACATCAAACGGCTGAACGTCTTTGATCACCGGGTCTCACGCAGTATTGCATAGGGTGAGCAACGTTGAGGTCCGCCAGTTGATTATTTGAAATATACCCTCCAGTGCCGCAATTCAATGCCTGTTTAAGTTTAATCGCTAACGCTGGTTAGATTATGTGCTCCGTACACCAGTTAACCGCCTTCCTCGGCCTTCATTGGCTGGGGATCTGAACACTTAAGATGGAAAGTTATTCACTGATAAATGCACCTGGGTGGCCAATATCGTGTAGGCTCCCGTAGTGATAACGGTGAGCGGTTGTTTAATTTGTGTGAAGATTCTCGCATATTACTTGCGAGCACTAATGTCAGACACAGCACTCGCCGGAGGGTGACTTGGCGCCCACCAGCCTCGAACCAGTCTTGGACGCAACTCGATCACATTGCGGTAAGTTACCGATGGACAGGCTGCATCCAGAACAGTCGCTCGATTTGGAGCACAGGTGTGGACACCGATCATGCACTTGTATGTTCTGACATGCGGATGCGTTCTGGCGGACGCCCACGACGACGCCGTGAGCGCATTGACAACAGCCAAGTGACGACATCAGCTGTTCTGAATGCCTATCAAAGTACGTTGACATGCGAGTTGAGTAAATGCTCACTGGATACAATTGAATCCCGCTGGTCTAATGTTCACCAGAACTTACTAGCAGCAGGCAAATCCTCATGTGGTAAGTCTGATAGACAACATGGACATTGGGTCTCTTCGCGGTCTCTGGAACTTATTGATGCTCACAGGCATATTCCGGCTGGAAGCGAACGCAATGAAACTCGCAAACAGCTTTGGGCAAAACTCCATGCTAGCCTGAAGAGAGACCACGAATCCTTGTGGTCTCTCTTTGTGAGTCAGAGCTGCAATTGGCCGCTGCACCATGTAACCGTCGTAACTTATTCAGCCAATTACGGGAAATGGGCAACAAGAGACATGGTGTTAGTGAAATAATTTCTGCGGAGAGTGAACAGCCTATCCACAACTTGTCAAAAAGTTTAAAGTGATGTGCTGAGCATTTTGAAAAGCAACTTATTCGGTTGGAATTGTCAGATTTCTCGCCAGCCACTGATCGCCATGCTCCGTGGGCTGCCCCAATGGATCCGCCTTCTCTCTCACAGGCCAAATGCGCGATCGATATGTTGAAGTTAACTAAAGCCGTGTGACTAGATTTTCTTCCCCCAGACCTCTTCAAATTCGGAGCACCCACTCTGGTAAATGAATTATACGAGTTACTAGTGAAACTGTGGAAGCAGGAAACTGTCCCAACTGACTGGAGCCGCTCCGTCATAGTCCTAATTTTTAAGGGGGCTCACGATGGGAGTGCGGCAACCATCCAGGAATCATTCTGATCTCCATCGCCTCCACATTGCTTGCAACTGTCATCCTTCACTGACTGACTGGCGCTCGTGAAAGCCAGATTCGTGAGGAGCAAGCCGGGTTTCCTCGGGGTCGTGGCTGCATCGACCACATGTTCACTTTGGATGAATTGTTGGAGCACCGTCACATATATTGGCGGCCCACCACTGTCGTATTCCTAGATATCAAAGGTGCCTTCGATTCGGTTGATTGATGTGCCTTTTTGGACTGTCTACCCATGAAAGGTGTGCCTGAGAGTTATCTAAATGTTATCCGAGTATCATACGCGCGTAGCTCAGGCAGAGTGAGGGCGTACGCCATCTGCCGCCACCCTTCAATATCGTCAGCGGTGTGAGACAAGGATGCCCGCTGTCACCTTTCCTCTTCAAGTTCGCTATTGACGAAGTCATGGAGACTGTATTTACAGGACACGAGTTAGAAGGTGTGGAGCTGATCTCAGGAGAACGACTTCTTGACTTGGAATATGCTGACGATATTGCCCTCATCTGTGACAGCTTCCAGACGTGCCAGGCTTCACTGGACAGGTTAGCACTGGGTATCAGCTATTTCGGGCTTTGCTTTGCTTCCTCGAAGTGCAAAGCGTTTATCCAAGGTCGGCCTGGTCTGCATCCTTCGCTGACTATTTGTGGGGATCAGCTAGAAGTGATTCAGAAATTCAACTACCTGAGAAGTTGTATCAGAACCCTTGGGATCGGAGACGAGATTACGAACTGCACAGCAAATGTTCGAGGCGCTTTGGCTAACTTTGCCACCTATGGCGGCGGCGGGACATCACTCTCACCCTGAAGAGTAGAGTGTACAATGCAGCGGTACGTTCGGCCTTACTGTACGGTTGTGAAACCTGGCCCATTAGATCAGCGGACATAAAGGGTCTAGTTCCATTCGTCCACCGTTGCCATGGTTGTGTGGTGCAATCTGCTTGGTGCGCCGTGTGAGCAACGAGCGTGTTCTTCGCTTTGTTTACGGCACAGGAAAAGGAACTGAACCACTCAGCACCGTCATTTCACGCAGCAGGCTTCGGTGACTCGGCCACGTGTTGCGCATGCCAGCTCACCAACTCCCGCGTCGTGTGTTGTTTGTTTGCTCACCGGGGCTGTGGATGGAAGAAGAGGAGAGGTGGCTAAGCGATGACTTGATCGAGAGCAATGAAATCCCTCAGTTCGGAGATGGCCTCGGTTGGAGCTTCACGGCTCCTTGGTTGGGTTCCGAAAGACGATGAGCACGTTTTCTTGGATACAATTGCTGATATGGCTAGACGCCGACCTCAGTGGCGTTTGTGTTGTGAGTTTCTTTGTCCCCTCCTATCCCTATTTGCCTTTCCCTCCAACCACGAGCTCACTACTTTTGCCTTATATAATTTTGCATAGTACCATTTTAGCTGCATGGTAATTGACTACTAGCTTACAGGAACGATGCCTATCCGTTACTATTGGCTCAGATTGCTTGTATCGTTTGCATTTCCTCCTTTTTTCTTTTACATGTTTCGGCGCAGTAGCTGAGGTGTTTCCACCTCTAGAAAACGTATCGATTGATGGTGATGATAATACGCCGCCGCTGTACCAAGTTTGGCGAAAGCACGTAGTGATCAACCTATAACATGGCATATAGGTATGAAGAAATTGACTGAGAGACTTGGCCGGTCAGGTACGTGCTGTCTACTGGAATGGAAGCTTCGTGCTAGTCCGAAAATATTAGTTAGAGACTCTATGGGACGTGGTGCATTGTCTGAGTCAGTGCTGTCCCTGCATTCGTTCTCATGTGTTTAACTGTTCATACTTCAATGCGATTAGCTTCATGCCCCTTGTTCTTGCTTCCATTCTGTTAATACCATATTTAAGCCTAACTGCATTTGCTTATCATTGTTGCTTGTTGCCAATCTGGCGACGCGAGCAGTAGCAAATGCATTCACGGCTGTTTGGTGCCCGGATCATGGTTTATCAACTGCACTGAACTATTGAAACAACGAGGTAAGGTTTCAGTATCGTAGGTTACTTAGGTAAGAAATATTCCAGATAGAACTTGGCTCACTTACCAGGAAAGCAAAATACTAAAAGCGAGAAAATACTCCTCTACCAAGTCGTTATTAATCCTAATGTGAAAGATCTAGTTAAAAGTGGTGCCCTTTTTCCTACAGTGGTTCTTTGGAAGCCAGTTTTCACTCTACTGGCGAGTTCACCATAACTGTGTTTTAACATTACCTTTGACGCAAATGCGGGTACATCGAAAACTTATTGCTCAGGTGTACATCAGTTTGTCTACTTTAATGGGAACATTTTGCGATGAAATAGCGACAGTTGTGCATCATGTGTACGTTCGTTGGACAACGCGTTGTGCAATTTTTACCACAGTAGACCCTGTAAGTAACGGTAACTTCAGAGCCACGGCTAAACATCGGTCAGTACAGAGCCCACAGGCATCCAGTTTTCCGCGAAATATTCTGTCCTCAGACACCGACCAGAATGTATCAACCGTTCAAGTATCCGTAGTCTGCGCCTCATCGCGTGCAGCGCCGTGCAGTTTATGGCAGGCAGTCGCTGCGCTTGTGTGCATAGTGCATCGTGTGAGATCCGATTGGATCTCCGGACCTTCGTTAGAATTCCTCGGGTTTCTTTCAGGGTGCGCAATGTACGGCAATTTACGATGCGTCATTGAAAATTGGTAGACACATCCCGGACGCACCATAGGTACTAGGTGGGTCCCGTGGACTCCAAGTTGAGACAAGTCAACAGTAACCAGTTTGATAGTCAATGACTTCAATTCTCGCTGTCAGGTTAAATGGTGTCCCATTTTTGAGTTCTGTGGTGGCGAAGGAATCAAGACATTTTTCGGTATGCGGTGACCGCGCATACATAACACGAGCCAAAGCCCATACAACTTGCCTAATCTTATTTGTTGCATTAAAGAACTGAACTGATCATCACCGCCTAGCCATCACCCACGCACGAAGTCATTGCGGACACCATGATGTCATCCAGCATTAGCAATGCTCCGAAGGCAACGATGCTGGAAGGATTAAAAGTGCGTCCATCCTCAAAGCGATAGGGCCAGGTCTCAGTCCAATAGAGTAGGAAGGCGCTCACTGTATTCTTGTGTACTTGACCATTCGGATTGAAGGAAATGCTCATCTGGTACCACAAACGTCGAAGGTTCAAAAATGAATTTCTAGTTTTCGAAACGAGTAGACTAAGTTTGACAGTGACGCGCTCATCGCTGCTAATGCAGCTGTCAATTTAGGTGAATCGCTCAACTACTCCTAATTCTTCATCGTCAAGGTTCAAGTAATAATCAAGTGGCAGGTGGTCTTGTAACACAGCTTGGCAGTTTGAAGGTGCGAAGCGCATGTCAAAGAATGGGACCACTTCGGATAGTTAATCCAGGACAGACTAAAGCGCTTTGCAAGCGTTAAACCGTGAGAACATAACCTCTGCATAATACAGATCAATTAATTCTCAACAAGGCAACATTTCAATACTAACATCGTGAGAGTTAAACGAGAGGACGCTACATGAAGAGTCCTCGAGAGTATGTAACAAAAGTGGGAAAATTAGGTAGCTCGGGCGAGCACCACTCGTTATAGGAGAAGAGACTGATAGTTCACCGTAAACACTGATGCCAATCTTTTTACCGCACATTTTACTCTGATGCTGGGATTCATCGATCATTGTGTTACATGGCATTAAAAAGGAGATAATCACTTAAATGGGTAAGCCTTCGGTACAGTTCGGTTGTTGACTGAGATTCAAGGCGACGTGGTGCGTTTCCACAGCTGTAGTTATTTCGAATAGTATATGCAACTATGTCTCCTCAAATGTCCCGTGCTTAAATGGATCTTTACTAACAGATGTGGTCAATTATGAAAGCCGCACCCAACAGGACGATATACACCAATTTTCTCGGCTACCATATTATGCAAGTTACCACACGGCGATTGTTTAGGTCGATAAACTATAGGCATTAAGACATTAGAATCAGAACAGTAGGGAAGAGTACTCTTTTCGGTGGTGTCCTACAGCCAGACACAATTACGGGAGTAAGCCAAGCGCGACAGGCCAGCAAACACTGGAGTGCAGACGGTTGAGTCAACAAAGTCGATCAATGGTTCCATCGATCCAGCCATGAGACACGCGAGCACGCACTCACGCACAAAGCACGGAGGCGTTGGTCGATGAAACGACGATGGTCACTGCCGCATTCACTGTCCGACATTACGGCCAGGGCAAAGTGAGAGATTGCATTAGTTTCCTTTGTTTGCACAACCGACTGAAGTAGTCTGGTTGCAATGACTTGGGCCGTGGTCAAGAAGCGCCTTTGGAGTTCTTTGGTGGTGCGCCTCAATGCCATGTAGACTATTTTGAACGCGTCGTCAGTACGAATCTGATGGCCGATACTAATCAGATGTAAGAGGATGGGGTTGGGAACATTCTTAAAGGTGTCATCCTGCAGAGGCGCCCGCGGTCTGACCATGAAATAATAAATTCAAGCTTGTATTTCTCCGTACAGAAGAAAATACAGAATGCAAAAAATCAGGACCTTATGAGTACAATATTCAATGGCATCAGTTACTGGCAAAACCAATGATGTAGTATTGCTTATTTTTAACCAACTAGGAAAAGACAGTCTAGTGTTCGTGGATTAGCAACACTTGTCTGCAACAAAGTCAGCGGGTAGGGGGCATAGCTATCTGTATCCACTGTACCATTCACCAACAAGTGGAGTGACGAAATTCCGTGTGCTATATGACCGCATTCCGTTCAATTTTCCCGCGAGCCGTGACTACAAGTATGCAATGGCGTAACAATTTGGAGTCCAAGGAATTGAGTACTTCAACACAAATATGGCAAAATAGCGCTTATGTAAAAGTACTCATAATGTATCGTTGGCTTCCTAGCGGATTTTGCACTGCATGCGAGGGAGTAAGCCGCTCATGAGCGAAGGGTCACAGTCCTAACAAAATTCAATCGGGGAACTTAAATTTGTGTCTGTTTTGTCTTGCTCTAGTTTGCTGACACTGCATCATTGGTTGCAAGCAATCAGGTAAAACCCCATCGTCATCTGCTGCTTACTTCATGAGACACCGGGTCGAATTCGCCAAAAAGTTGGCCCATTGTTATTGCCTTTGGGTTGATAGTTTTGAACAGTACTTTTTCGTATTCCTCATACCCACTTTCGTTCAACCTCGTCATCATTTGAGCCAAGGTGTGCAGCACAGCAGTCTTTGCTCCGAAAGGTTCACCGACCAACATAAACCTGGGGTGGGTACGAGCAAAATATTGAACGCTCACTGTAGTCTTGGATACACTAGACAAAGTGTCATTCGTAAAATCAAAAGTCGTAAAGATATAGGCTAACAACAGCCTCGTTATTCTTTCTACTTTTGGGCAGATGAATATTGGCTGTTGCCCGCCATAAAACATTGCACTCCAAGATCGGCTTCGAACTTATGTAATCTCATCAGGTAGAGATTGCGCGCATCGGGACCCGGTGGCTTATGAGTTAGAGGTCCCAAGCAACATCTACTGGCCCCGGGGGGTTCAAGGCCTGTTTTCTCTACCTGACGAGATCAAATAATGTCGAAACGCGTAGTGGGGTGCAGTGTTTTCCATTCGCTTCAGCTACTACCTTAATGATCGAATTGACCAACGTTCAGCTCAATAGGAATCATGGTCTACATTGAGCTTGCGCGTTGAATTGCAATCACACAACGTGTAATTCAAAATGACTCATCAAGCTAACCTTGTCTGCAGTCAAACCCAAGTTTGCAAGTATTAAGTTAATCAGGCAGTTCCCTCTGCAGGCTCGATAAATACAGTGTAATGTCGCTTAAAGGTTACAGTGGGAGTGGGGAAGTAAAGTTGACGGAAATTTTCTGACCTCAGGTACAAAGAAACAGTAGGAGAAAAGTAACGAACGAGTTAATGCAGCATACCCCAAACCAAAGGAGGTTAAGGGGCATCAGGAGTACACCGGCAAGCAGTGCCGACGCTTAGCTGCCGCGCAACCGCCAGCAGTCGTGCGTTAGCAAAACCTAATGCAAGGGTCTCCCAGTGCCCTACGCAGACTCGAACCCTCGCTCTTGGATTTTAGGGCAAGGTTATGATCCTTTAGGCCACGAGCCGGTAAGCAAAAGGGGACTGTAAAATAGTTGATTCACTATGGTTCAGATTACGCGGATTTCTTCACTGCTCAATTCCAGATTATAATGCTATATCAATCTTACCAGCATCAACGGTATTTGAGAGTGCTAGTTTACCAGCGCAAATACAACGTTATCAGAGTAGATAACCCATAGGGAAACGAAAGATAGGCAGCTAGCCACAACAATCCTATCTTTTGTTAGTGCACGAAGTATTTCAGCGGTATCTCCAACCAGTTTTCAGCAGTTGGGAAAAAGCAAAAGGCCGCTCCTCAGACATCAGGTAAACACTTGTACAACGACTGCTGGACCAGTTGGACTACAGATTCCATAGCATGCGGATGCGGAGGACACGGTTAATCCTTCCAGTAATAGTTTGTTGTCTCAGTACACGTTTATGAAATCTTCGTTTCCACTAAAGTATTCTAGGTTCCGATGCAGTTTACAATGAATAAAAGGCAGAGTGAAAGCCGGAGAGATGATTTCACTCTGAAGCATGTAGATATTTGGGTATGGCTAACTTTTGGGATTGAGTCTCACGACTGACTACATCCCCATAACAATTCGGCAGCTTATGAAGCCCACCTTTAGTATACCCTGAGCATTCTGACCTTAAGTCTGCTGCGTGTTAAGACCAATTACTAGTCTTCATGACATCAACTGTCCGCAGTGTCCAGCAATTTAAGAGTAATGATCCGGTGGTCACGTGTGCAGCATCCAATTCATTTACATAAACTTGAAGGGAGCATTTGTAAAGAAAGCCAGCCGAAGAGTTAGGTGCTAATGGCTACCAACATCTAAAATGGTCCCATGGCGATTACAGTCACTGCGACTGGAATAAAAGTGACTGGCATTGAAGAGAACCTCACTATCTGTTTGGATTTCGTGACCCAGTCGTCACACAATAATTAAATCAGCTCAATACTCGATAGGTCTCCAACCTTATCAGGAATTTAATTCGCACAAATTTAGATCTATATTAAGCACCAAAGTCAGCCTCATTATGTGCATAAATTTATGACGTTTATTCCTTTTACTGTGAGTACAAAGTGGACAATTCGTGCTATTCGGTCACTTGAATTAATTTTTCCGTGAGAGCTATAAGTAAGTAAACGGGGGGAAGTGAGCAATAGAATGCGCACAAGGGCAACTTGAAGGGCGAAATCTGCGGGAGAAAAATGTACTCAATAGGTAAAAGGTATTGCGGACGCAACTGGCCACATGCAAGAGCACCGCTGCTTTCATAGTTGTGCCATATCGGAAGCATCCTCTAACGGTCGATCCGGTACAATTGGTGGGCCCATTCAGGAAACCAGAGCAAGCCCGACCAGATCAATCGCGCAACTTTTCATGCAGTTTTTGCATGTCATCAGTATACCACAGACTACAGCTACTTAGGCATAGTATTAACAAATAAAACAAGTCAAGTGGTCGTCAGGTGTACATAGATTATTGATAAAATAGGTAGAACCAATATGGCCCCAGTGTCTGAAGTTGGGACTAGCGTATCTGCATTGGAAATGCAGTGACGTGATCAGATATCGGTGATACATTACAAACAAAGACATAAAGAAAAACTTCGATCTTCCTCAATAAATGAAAACAAGCCTATTCCAAAGAGCGACACTGACCGCACCGCATGGTTGCATGCCTCTCCCCCAAGACATATAAGTGGATATTTCTTTTTTCTGTTGGATGATCGTCACACTGAAATGTCGCATGCATGTCTCCGAGCCGCACAATAACTTATTCGTTTATTTATACGCTTTTGTGAGACAAGTATTTGGGTCGACGAGCCGACTGGTGGCCTCCAGAGATGGTTCGATGACGCTGAGGACTGTCGAAGCATCTGCCTACTCCGGAATCGTGCAGCTCCCTTTGGGAATCTGCACAACATGTCTGTGTGGGCTGATCCGTATCAAAATGATTATATCGTCCAGTCTTATAGGCTTATTAGCCGGTCACCTAGTCGATCATTTACTCAGCTAGAAGTAAATAGAGTAATGTGTTCTACTATCTTTGCGATCATAAAGTTGAAAGGAAAGTGAGACCAACGCAGCACTGATGTAGCTCACTTGCTGCGAGGAGTAAACAGACAACCCAGAGAGTTACACGGCAGAGGTTTCGTAGTGATGACGAGTATCGCTGACCTGCTATTCCTAGACAAACACAATCAAATGAAGCAAAGGCTAGTTATGAATCGAGGAGAAAGGTCGTAGTGGGAAATTTTTGTGTGCGTGTCGCCACACAAGAAAACTACAACACGCATGAGAAATGCGTCCTCTACCGGAACGAAACCCGGTGTGAGTCCCAGTGATACGACTAAGGTGAAGAACAACCAGCCAGCGTACTATATGATTTATAGGATAGTTGTATCAAGTTAGTGTCATCATGGTAAAAGAGTTGACATTTTGTGCACAACATCATCTGGCCCCTTGTTAAGGAGTTAACGAGAGGCTGACTGTACCTACGGGAGTCAAACAGTACTTCCGGCAACGAAAATCAGGCACCAGTCAAAACGTCTGGTTAAGCAAATTCCATTAGACCTGACATCTAGCATTAACAAGGATGAAGCAGCCGAACTCCAACCCTCGGTACCTGTAGCGCAAATATCTCTTGTCGAGACTAAGCCTCCCAGAACATCAGTTACCTATGCAGAGATTGCTGCAAAGGTCCACCGAGAGGCCGCCGTTGCGGCCTCTTCTGTTGTAAACACCGTTAACGCGATTATAGGGGTAAACAGTAAACAATCAACACGTCTGCAGGTCAGGAAAAACGATTTCCCTACTTCGTACATCAACGAAAAAGGGACCCAATAATAGTGCCTGGACTGTTGTATGCTCAAATGTCCCTGAATCTACCACCATCGCATTGTGGGGTAAATTATTGGACTACCAAGACCAATGGAACTCATTGTGCATGCTGATGAGTATCAAAACCAAGCCCATAAGACGAATTAGTGGTCATCCGAAGTCGCCACACTATAGAGAACCCAGACTTAATCGAGTAACACTATAATCCTCCACAGAGGTAGAAAACGTTTTGCAATGCGCCAGTGCACTAAGACACGGTTCCGGTAGGATATGTATCTGCCCTGATGTCCCATGGAGCGTGCGACAATCAAAAACAAACACTGAAGTGGGACATAGAAAGCAAGGCCGCCTAAACACAATCTTCATACATAGCGTGCCAGAAGAACTTTCGTACGATGTTCAAGAAGACCGGAAAGCACGACTTAGAACACTGGCGGTTCCTTCGTGAAACACTTTCTTTGGATGATATTGTGGCGCTATCGCTCACCAGAATACCTCACTCACCAAATTATAGGGGATACGGCCCTAGAATCCTAAAACTTATGGTTCCGTCAGAGCAACAAGGGACAGATGTTTTGGAGCGATGGCGGGAAAAACGGAAAATTCTTCATTCTGAACTTCGGTTAGAGGTCGCAGAAGCTTTGCAAAGTTCAAATACCAAAGCAACTGGAACAGCAAGCGCATCGACGATGATACAGAGGTTTAACTTGACTACTGCTTTATTTGACTCTGACGTAGGTCTAAACGAAGAATGGAACGCACCTTGGTCAAATCAAGTTTCAGGAGGTATCATTATCCCAGCAAAAAACGAGCAACTGCCGACCTCTCATCGGTCGGTATCCTCCCACACTTGAGCCCTTTAGCCTTCTGTGGGCTTCCAGAGACCGAGAAACTGGCCTGCTTGTATATGAATGCTCAGGGTACTTCTAATAAAATGGCCAAACTGAAAGATAGCCAAACTTCCGGGGTATAGGATGCCACTGGTATCACCGAGACGTGGTTGCATACGGGAATGACGGACGCTGAAGCTTCCTTACCGGGCGTATCGTTGATCCGGAACGATAGGCTGACAAAAGGAGAAGGAGTAATCTTGTATTCCCGAAACGACTAAGAGTGCGAAGCCGTGGAGGATTCAGACTCGCAGTTCCCCGACTCTCTTTGCTGCTGCTCGCAGTTAAAATGCAGAGACGCTTGCCTTATTGTCTTGGTGTACCGCACCCCTAACTCAACACCCGAAACAGAGCGCCACATTACAGCTGTTTTAAGATAAAGTTTACAACGAAAATACATTCACATATTTA